ACGTGTCAGTCTTTTATACACGCGTCATAACGCGTTCCAGAGTGGCATACAAGATAAACGCGGCCTGCGTTGCGCTTAACAGAAAGTGATAGCGTCTTCCTTCGTAAACCAAAAGAACCGCACGTGTCAGTCTTTTATACACGCGTCATAACGCGTTCCAGAGTGGCATACAAGATAAACGCGGCCTGCGTTGCGCTTAACAGAAAGTGTTAGCGGCTTCCTTCGTAAACCAAAATAACCGCACGTGTCAGTCTTTTATACGCGCGTCATAACGCGTTCCAGAGTGGCATACAAGATAAACGCGGCCTGCGTTGCGCTTAACAGAAAGTGATAGCGTCTTCCTTCGTAAACCAAAAGAACCGCACGTGTCAGTCTTTTATACACGCGTCATAACGCGTTCCAGAGTGGCATACAAGATAAACGCGGCCTGCGTTGCGCTTAACAAAAAAATTGCCCGCAGCTTCCCTCGGGGGAACACTGAGGAGGATGCGGACCATATAATTGGTTAACGGGGTGTTAAAGTGCGACTTACTTGGGTCGATGGCTAAATTGGTTAACGTGGTTGTGAAATGGGGTGTTAAATTGCGACTTACTTGGGTCGATGGCTAAATTGGTTAACGTGGTTGTAGGAGGGGGTGTTAAATGAGTGAACACGTACACACGTATGCGAAAGGGCGGCGCTGGTCGAAGGGACGTCGTCTCAGGTCGATTTCTGCTGATTGTGGTGCACAAGGGGAGTGACCCTTGCCAAGTTCTGGTGAAATAACCAACAATCACAGTGGCAGTAGGCACAATGAAATTCTTCGGCTTGCGTTTGCGCATGTTGAATGGGTGTAGTGAAATGAATAGGTGTTGGGTAATATTGTATTGTTTTCAAGTGAGTGGCACTTTAGGTACCCAGATTGTCGTTCATTTACAGTCTTAGGCCACATCTTGGCGCTGTGGTGAAAAGTGGTCTAGAGAAAGTTAGTGGTGTGCGAATAGGCGATCCCCATTAAAAAAAACGCCCACCATAGGAATGGTCGATTCTATCATCCACCATTTTGGTGGATTATGGTACTGGAAAAGTTGGTGGCACATGGTGTATGGTGGCGCATGGTGGAGCTGATGGTGGATGGCGCGCTCTAGCCGGCAATGCTGGAGCGCGAAGCAGTGTCAGAATCACCGTCATGAGCTGCCACTAAAGAAATAATAAAAATAATAAGAAAGCACCCGTAAAAGAAAAAAGAAACGTGCGACAGCGCGGAATCGAAGCTGCTACCTTCAGATTCCCGACTGAGCACACTAAAAACTGCGCCACGTCGACTTTTTTTTTATTATTTACTTTGGCACATAATACAATAATATACAGTGCATAAACAGTACGTACAGCGGTAACAAACAGAATGGTTACATAGTGACTAGAATTCCTTCATACGAACAAGTGGTTCCAGATGTTCAAGCCACTCATCAATTGAGTCGTTAGTTTTAGACTCGCGCCGACAGATGGGAACTTGGGTGTTAAAGAAGTAGTCAACTGACAAACTTACTGTCAACCTTCAGTTGTCTTTGTCGTTTATACGACATGGACGGGATCTGCACCTGCTACTAAAATTTGCACATTTGATAAACACGAACAGCTGCTGCCCGTAACGATTGCCACTGCTATAATGGCAACAGCGCTGTGTTTTTGTTACAGTTTACAATTGCAAGAAAAAAAAGGACAAGTCAGTGGACTGAGGAGCAGGTATACAGTTTATCGGCGGTTACTGCGAAGTTTATTATCTGTTTCTCGCTCCTTACAAAGGGCGATATCTCTTCAGGCTTTATGATGCTTCTATGCTCCTTTGGTATAGATACGCCCACACAATTCATTGTGACGCTTTTCGCGCAACGCACAGCGCAGGCGTGCCAACGCACCGCTGTTGCTCTGTCGTTAGGAACAACTACATAACGCCTTGACCAAAAGGATTGCAGTGCGCCAGAAACATTATGCTATCATATTGGTTCAGTAAGCATACGAATTGACGAGTCTGTGTTCTCGCATAAAAGCCAGTGAAGAGCCAGTGTACGCCTCCCCTCACCGACAGCCGCCAGCGACCGGTGGCTGTCGATGAGGGGATGCGTACATTGGGTGGAAGTGCTGCAAGCGCGTCGCATCGATGTTTGTCGCTTCTTGTGTGGACACCTTACACATTAAATAAAGGCTTAGTTTAGGTTAAATGATGCCACACCTGTGCTGTATTGTCATTTTTACTCGTCAAAATTGTGTATTCTGAAACCCAGAAGCACCGATAACACTTGTACGGGCTCGGTCGGTAGGACTAACCTTCAGTGGAAATCATGGTGGTAAAACATAAGAGTGAAAGTCAAATTCGATGGGGCTCATCTCATCGATGCATCGAAAGTCAAAGTTTATGCATATTCGCATGCACTTTGTTAACTTAAAAGTACGGCTCGAGCAATATAGTGTGCAAGAATTGCCAGCGTTGCGTTTCTAGCGTGGCGACATCAAGTGACCGCCGTGTTCTGCTCTAACATTTAAAGTGGCAATTTCGAACTTGAGCTCACTTATTTGTCGACAACTGTGCGCAAATGTTAGACATTTATTGTCATGTTCGCAGTGACGCCTCTAGTCTTCTAGACGTCACAACAAAGAAACACATCGCGGATGTCAAAGTGATGTAAGTACGTGCGCGAAATGTAAACACATTCACGGCCACCCATGCTACGGTCCACAAAAGTTGAAGCGTTGTTGACACCACAGCAATAACAAAATAAACGTGCTAGACAGTGTAATGAACGGCATTGGTTTCTTTTGACCGTAAATATAATCTCTGCGCATTCAAGAATGAAACACTACAAATAAGTGATTTCACATACTGTCATGTGATTTTTCATCATTCCTCTATCATCCACCAAGCTTCCATCACGCCACCGTCATCCACCTTGCTCACCAAGCCTTCCACCAAACACGTTTTGCCTCGCCACTATCAGCCGGCATTTTCCACCGTCACCACCATTGGCTCGCCACCACCACCTACCATCTGCCATCATTTTTTTCCACTCTCGCTGTCATCAGCCATTATGCCTACAACAGTTTCCACCATATCCACTAATATTTCCACCATATCCACCATTCTTTCCACCATATCCACCAACGATTCCACCATCACCAACCCAGGATTTTCAATAGGGATATAAAACCAAATCAAAAAGTTATCTAATAATCATGATGGCAAAAGAAATACCAATAGGAATGGAATATTCGAATAGAGCTGAGAATCATGAGCAGAAAATATACATTATGAGATTTCCATCATCAATACTATTCGCGGTGTACCAGAGAGTGTACACTTGTTTGTCGATATGGCAAAGAGGGCACAGGAAGTAGTAGGTGGTGTCTTCACAACTCGCAGTAAACTGAAAATGCTACGGTGTCGCCCGACCAGAACAGTATATGTCTGCCCCAACTGCAGCAAAAAAGAAACGATTCGCCATACGATGTTTGGATTAGTAGCGGCCAAAGGCGTGTGGAACGTCGTGCCGTCACCAATTCGGAATGTCAGTTCTTTCGGACGGACAGCGCAGGAAAAGCTTATTTGAACAAGTACTTTATGTCACGATGTTCGTCTTGTGGCGTTGCCGTGTATGGTTGAAACACGCCGACGACCCGAAGGAGCTGCATACCCAGCGTTACTGAAGATTAGAATGATCATGCTTCGGTACCTTACCAACAGATGGAACGCAGGGTGAAGATGCCTTCATCAGAAGGTGGCATGCACGTTTTTTAGATGTGAAGCAGCTCTTTGACTAGCCTGTGTAGCGCTGTCCCTCCGTCCACACCGCTCCCCTCGTCGCAGGTGTCGGAACGGTGCCAAGTAGCTGAAGCCCTCCTTGCAGTGCGCGGTGACGTCTCTCTCTCGCCGGCCGCGTGGTCGCCACATGTCAGCGCTCTCTCACATCACCCACTCCACCGCACGCAACGCTCGAGCATACTGTCCACGCGGGAATCAGCTCAACCGCGCCACCTTTCTCGATATATCGTCGAGAAACCGCGAGCCGGCGGGTGCGCGGGCTGCGCACGCCTAGAGAATGTCGCGGCGCAGAGAATGCAGATAGCACGCAGCTGCTTGCGGCGCGATTGCGCCGAAGGGCGAGACGCAGTCGTGGCATGCTTCCCGCTAGTATGTGCGTACCTTTCTCGTCTGTCGCCCGCTTTGCGAGTGTTAGTGAAGCTGATCGCGTTCGCGAATAGTGACGTCAACACAGGAGGCTTGAGCCAGAAAAGCTGAATGCAAGCGTCGGCTGTGGAAGACCAGTGACACCAGCGAGGTGTGAGTCAAGAACACCGATCGTGCACGAGAATACAAATGGCACACGGGTAATACCGACGAGACGCGAGCTAAGGAAGGCGAGCGCAAGCATCTTCAACGCGTCCCACCTCCCGTGTCATTGCGTTACAAAGAGACGTTTACTCGAGTAAACGCTGCACTGAGTTTCGCTCCAAACTGTTCTTCCAGCACCCGCGTCGACGCCCATTTCACTTGGGTCAACGCCGTGTGCACCGCTGCTGCTTCGAATCCCATCAGGGTTTCCTTCGGCGAGATGGTCCATAGTTTTTTTTTTTTGCGTGCGTAATTGGGAATATAGCTTCCTCTACTGCCGTTTCAAAACTCACTGACAAGGACAAAAAAAATTTCCTTCTCGTCACAAATATTATTCGATTCTGTTCGAACTTAGTGCTTTTTCTGTTTTCCTTTGCATTTGTTTCGTTTAGTGATTCGTGATCTGTGGGAGTATTGCAGTGCTGTAAGTTGCATCGTGTCTATGTTCTCTTGTTTGTAGTCACTGAAGTGATATTGTTACACCAGACAGTTGTACTCACCTGAACTGTTGTTACTAGTATGCAATAAACTTCCCTGTTTCGTTCATCTTTTTATAACCGTAGGAATACCACGGACTTTTAATGAGTGAACTGCAGATACCCAACACTGCGTGTCTCGTGTCTCGTATCGCAGACGCCGCAGAGTCAGACAAAGATGGTGGCGGAAGCAGCAACGGTGGCAGCGGCAAGCGTCGTCGGACGCGGACCAACTTCAATGGCTGGCAGCTAGAGGAGCTCGAGAAGGCGTTCGAAGCCAGTCACTATCCGGACGTCTTCATGAGGGAGGCTCTCGCAATGCGGCTAGACCTCATCGAGTCACGAGTACAGGTCAGTGACTTCACTTAGAGCATGTCGCCTCCTAGGCCTTACACTCAATTCTTTTCCAGCTTTGCATGTCACTAGCACCTCACAATTTGTTGAGGAGGTATAACACCTCCTCAAGAAAACGTACACGCATCTTTATTAGGTCTGCGCAACGACCGCGTCCGCCTTAAAGCGTGTTGTTTATCAGCTGAACGTTAAGTCATGTGTGTCCGTAGCTGAGTGAACCCTCTGCACGGTGTCTATATAGGATGCTTCATAGAGCAATGCTGGGCTGAGATATGTGTAGAGTCAGTGTTCTATGTGTTATTCTCGATTGCGAAACTCGAACAAACAAAATGAAGGAGAATCTGAGGTATACTTTGCGAAATTGTAAAAAAAGCCAAGACAAAAAATAAATGAGTCAGAGCGAATGATGAAAACATCAATATTTCCACGCATACTTGCGTACATTGAAGCTCGACATTCATGTTTGTCGAAGTAACCATCAGCATGAAAGTGATAAATGTGATCATGACACGTTGCTCATTTTTTACATCATGCATGCCCAGCCATATAAATGCTAAGATATTTTGTTACCCATACACAACAATAACAATAAAAGTTGTACTGATAATGTACTTCGGGCGAGTTTCTCACAGCCCGCCAGTGTCAGAAAATAAAAGCGCCACATGATCTAATCACTACGTGCATCGCTGTCGACAACGGCTTGATATCTTCTTCAAGTTCCGAAGCCATCTTTTGCGTCTTCTTCTGAAAGGAACGCGGGTACTCGTTTCAGTGATGCGAACGACGCCTTCTCGTGTCAGCCATGAAGAATCCTGGGCGTTTTCTTTTTCTTTTCTTGCCGTTTTTCTTCGCACAAGTAGCCTGCTTTTTCGCACAAGTAGCATCCCTCACATCACGTATAGTATACCTACGGCGTCCTTTGTTTTAGTCTCCGCTCCTGCAGGCGCTGATAGATAAGCTCTGTTCGTGTATGCCTTCTGCAAAAGCTCTGCGAGCGGCTGGCAGCCTTTGCGCATTGAGACGTCATCTTCCACTACACTATACCGCGTGTTCGCGTGCGAGCCTGTTCACGCGGAAGACATCATAGCAAGGAACAACTGCGGGCTCTGCCCCGTGTGCTTACCCGCCCACCTAAAACACCGGGTGTAACATCGCCATCACTCGTGCCGTCTTGAAAGCTGTCTTCTAAGCCGTCTTCGTGGGCACGTTTTTTAACGCCACCTGCACAGCAGACGGCTCAGCGAGAGTCCCGCCACAGGGTGCAGAAGCAGACGTGTGCGCGTGTGTTGCCGACGTCATTTGTTACGTGGCTGCTGCGGTACTAAAAAGAAAACAAAGAAAAACGAACAAAGTATAAAACGAAGGTTACAGTGATCGGCGGCTGCTATATTTACAGCGCATCCTTTTTATTTCGCCCGCGTACTCGTTTGAGTGACAGGATTGCCCGATTAAGCGAGTGGCGCAGTCGAAGCCACATATTTTTCCACCCTATAGTTTCCCACCCATTGTCTGTCACCTTGTGCGTGAAGCAGACGTCAAGGTTTTAACGAGTCGCTCTAGACTGCTTTACTTGGAGATGTAGTGCGGCTTCACAAGAAAAAAAAAAGAACAGTCCTCATGATTTCCGTGTTCCGTCTAGTACAAGGAACGGGGCTTTGCGCACTGATCTTTTTTTTCTTTATAATTGCTCTGGTCAAGAGTTTCGCGTAGCCCTTAGAAACGCTTCTTTTTTAGCGGATGCGACATTTCGTGCGTTCTCTGAACAAGAAGCGAAACTTCTGCGAGATCGCAGTATCGCCGTGTCTGCTCCCAGTGGAGCGAGGCGCTTGTACAAAGGGTATACGAAGCGAACAGATCCGTTATTTTTGTTACGATTATCAGATTAGAGCAAACGTTTCCTCTTGTAGTTGTAAAAATTGTTCCTTTGCTACACATCCACAACAATCGCCGTTTTCTTCCGTGCAGCAGCTGATCACTGTCACGCACACAAACACGTCGTAGAAAACCACCCTTTCAACCTGTGCACATGAACGCAACTCGTATTGACACCGACAGACACTCACTAACCACCTAACGAGAGTTGCGTTGTACCTCGCCATACGCAGTGTCATATGACAAACTAGCCGGGGCGAAAACTTTGACACACATACACACAAACTCACACTCACTCACTATACAAACACACATACGCGAGCGCGTTGGGTTGATTCTGACATTAGGAAGTATCCCATCAACATTTACAAAACTAGTGCTGCCATCTTGCGATGTTTTCTCTCTCTGATGCGTGCCTCGTGTACGTTGTTTCCCGGTGCATACGTGAGGCACCATCCTTGAACCGCTGTTTCGCAAGGGGTAATGGAGGCTATAGTCTAATTGCGCGCCTCGTTCAAGGCGTATGCTCTAAGCAGATCCTTCTCTTTCGCAACTGTCGTAATCGTTGCGCCAGCTTGTTCGGTGCACACATTGCTCTCATGTTCATCAAATTACCGCGCAATGCGTGCGTAGTTGTTGAGTGCGCCAGTCTACAAAAACGAGGCTGATGATCTCTCAGCGCCGAAAATAAATGTTCCCTTTGCACTCGACTGGCAGAAGATGGCAAACTCACAGGCGCTTTCTGCGTTTAGTTTCCGTAATAGCTATGCAGAATTTCTCTTTTCTTTCGCTTGTTGTAGGAACATCACTCTCGTTTTGAAACAGTTGCTGAACTTGAGGAAATTACATGCCGAACCCCTAAGAATATTTATTTTGTGGTTCCTCTTGCTGATTCGTTCATATAAACTAAGGGTACGGAGCACTGAAGAAACACATAGAAATGTGCAACAACAACATTAAAAAAATGTGGCTCATCCTTTTATATAGAAAACGGTATAACACGAAATCGAAACGTGTTTTCACAGAGGTTTTTGAGTGTTTATTCTGCATTGTTTCAGCAGAAGCAGCAAACTGTAAGTCATTTTAAGAAAGACAAGGAGCTTCCAACTTGCAGCGCACATCACAAGCAGAATGCACGATTGAAATGAGCATGCACTGGACGAGCGCGGACTAACAACTGTCACAGCTTGACACTTAAAGAGCGCTGTTGAAGCAAAAAGACGCAAGAAACGAGCGCACAAGTATACACGGGACAAGCGTGAACAACTGTCTCAATTCTTACTTCGTCGTGTGTCAGCTGGGCGCTCCTTTTGTAAAGGCGGCCGTCGACAGTGAGCGGAGAGACCTTCGTTCTCACCCGAATTATTAGTCTTATAAGAGCGCGCGCAAAAGAGACCGAGAAACGACGCTCCGTGAAGGCGGCGCTTCGTGGAGGCAACGACCTTTAGAGCGCGCCCAACGCTAGAGGAACTGTATATTACAATTACTCTATACCCCACGGGAGCCCTTCACGCCATCTCGCCAATGAGAACGAAAATGCCCTATAGTTTCGAAGCTCTGAGGATTACCAAACGGTGTATGGTGTATATAAATGACTCTCCATTAGCAATCCCCATAACGTACACTCCGTGCCGTAGTGCATAGCGCCGCGTGTTAAGAATCGAGGGGTTGCTCGTTCGAGTCAGCGCGACAGTCTTGCCTTTATGATTTGAAAGACAATAGTCTTTCTTGGGGATCTTCGACGCCAAAATTTTGGTCTGTCTGTCTGTCTGTCTGTCGTTCTGTCTCTCTGTCTGTCTGTCTGTCTGTCTGTCTGTCTGTCTGTCTGTCTGTCTGTCTGTCTGTCCGTCCGTCTGTCTGTCTGTCTGTCTGTCTGTCTGTCTGTCTGTCTGTCTGTCTGTACATTTATCGGTTTGTCCGCCATAACGATACCCGAAACGGCACCAAACGGGACTCTCAGTGGCCAACTCCATCCACAGTGCCTACCAATACTGCTCAACTTTCCGCCTCACACTGGTGTGATTGTCAATTAAAAACCAATTATTGCGCACATCGGAGGTGCCATAACAGCACACCGATCTTTTGTATGTGTGTCTTTATATTATGGAAGGCACACACAAGTAATTCTAGGGACAGTAGCATTTATCACGCTGCGCTGACAGTGCAATGCGATGATCAAAAAGGCAAGCATTTCCAACGCTTTGCTAAGACGACACGGTGGTGGCACCTGACCGGCACTTTGCGTTCTACGCCTTATCGCATCCGAGACAGGCGCGCATTTTTCTCGTGTCTAACGTGCCTCGATGCGCTCGTTCGCCTTCGCTGCACGGATCGAGACTCTCTAATGCAGCGCTTCCAAAATAGATTCACAAATTTTTTCGCGCAGAGCAAATTGGATAAACATTTTTTTCACTCTCTCAACACGCAAGACTATTGCCTTTCGACGACATTTGCAGGGAAACATGCATATACGGAGCCATTTTTTTTATGCAGTCAGTCAGCCTATGTTTTACAACGTTATATTCGTGACGCAACTACGTCACTGGAGCTGTTAGGAACTCCCGTATAAAACTTTTTCGTGCGTGTGAAAAATGAAGCATACAGTTTCGGTTTACAGTATGTATGCGCATGTGACTGAATCGCTCCATGAAGATTCCGCTGAGCTGTTCGGAGAAGTGTTCTTCTGGACTACGTTTATTCGTATGTTATACATACGTATTCTGAACCTCAAAGGAACGGCAAGAAAATGACAGAAAAGCGCACAGTAAGATGTCTGGGACATAGGCGGAAATGTTTTTCGGGGTGGTGGCACCACCTTGTTTTGGAGGGGGAGCCTGACATGCAGGTGTGGTCGAGTGCCATTTTGGGCTATATATGCCATGAAAAAAAAAGAATTCGGGTTGGCACAAGGCTGGTGTGCCACCTATTCGCTACGCCACTGATAGTTCTATTGGGATAAAAATAAATGACGTAATTTGTGTGACCTGTTTTTCGAGCATTTCATTTCCTTTCAGACCCCATCCGGACTGCCCAGCAGGTAGTGCCAAACCACATGCTTCTGAATGTCAACTTCCAAGCATTTCTTTCTTTTCTCCTGTCGACGCACGCACGCTAGAATGTGTCGC